TGGCTAGTAAGCAGTGACTCTTCTTTTGGGCCTATAGATGCCCAATGGGTAACTAAATGCAGGATAGAGCTAGGCATCTTTGTATTAATTTTATATCTGTCTCCTTTCTTATTATATATTAATCATTTAAAGAATGCCTGTCTACTAACTCATAATACAAGGTTTATTAGCCCTAAAATTACACAGCCTGTCTCATCCCCCTTCAAGACTGAAGACACCAAGATAAGTGATTGAAGGGAACATTTAGCTACAAACTTTTATCCCCCAGAATGGGTACCTAGGAGTCTCTGGTAATTGCCCTAAACCTGTAGTGACCTTGGATTCTAGAAGTGCCTCCACAAAATTGAGACCTGCCCCCAAAAGAAACAGTCATTTCACGGAAATACAATTGTTCCCTCAAACCATAAAGACTCTGGAACTACAAAACCAGAACTGAGATAATGAGTGGTCAGACCCTAACCTACTCACAAACCTCATAAAACCTGGCCTTATTTGTTAATAAACCAGCCTGAAGTTCTCCCATCAGACCTGTGTCCACTTCAGCTCCTCAAGCTGAAGCCTCTTCTCCATTTTCTCTTACGCTCTGTCTGATAAATAAGTCTATGCCTTTCACTGATATGCCCTGAAATTCTTTTCTGCATTGAATGTAAAGAACCTATTCAAGCTAAATTGAGGGTCCCATCTTCTTTTTCGAGATATCTCTTTGGAGATCCTTACACCTAGTCACTGTCCTCAGTGGTAGTCACTCTTGAATAACTTGGGTAACTTTTTTTTTTTTTGCTACACTGGAGATTGACTCTGGGGCCTTGTACACGCCAGGCAAGTGCTCTACCACTAAGCTACATATTTTTGTACTTTATTTTGAGATGGTCTTTCTAGATTGCACAAACTAGACTTGAATTTGTAATCATCCTGCCTCAACCTCTCAAGTAGCTGGAAATAGTGGTATCACCATGTCTGGTTCTTGGGTAGCTCTTGAATTATTCTTAGAATTCTGCTCATGAATTCAATCTTGTGCCATGACAGATCCTGGACTGTGACTAGAATTTGGCAGTATACTGAATGACATATCCTGTACCCTTTACCCTTCATTTCACAGAATACAATATGTATTTTTTTTAACCTGGTTATGGACAGGGTAGGGGAGGTGTTCATTTTCCCAATGGATGCAGGGTATTGCATAGTCTTTATTAAGGGATCTGACAGTGGGATCTACTGGATTCTGAATACATATGGGACAACCCTTTGTCTTCAACCTTTCTCCATTCTGTTCTGTTTTCTTGGGTTTCCCGCAAGTCTGAGTTCTCTCCATACACTATGGTGGGAAGACTCTGTCAGTGGAGCAATGGAAACTTTAGGAGCTGGGTCTTTACTGAGGCTGAGAATTGATTTTAATCTAAGGCACAAATGGCCCAAGGTCAGACCAGTGGGGTAGTATAAGCTTCAGGTCCAGAATTAATGATCAGAGATATATGCAGGAGGTAAGATGGGAGATCAATGAGGCAATGAGGAGACAGGAATAAATGGGAAGTTCCATCAGGGCAGGAGAAGGAAGGTTTCAAAACTTGAGTTACCGATTGAGAAGACAGGGTTGAGTTTTTTGGGTGTGAGATCCATTTTGCAGGCACTCAGCCAGACCACAGATTTGGCAGAAATAATACTGGTGACTGAATAGTAATATTAATGTGTGGTTTTTATCCTACCATACACATAATTATTTTTTAACCAGTCAGTAATTTCACTGGCTTCTTTAGGAAATGCAGTTTAAATTCATTAAAAGCTCCTGAGACTGTCAGCTGGAAGGCATATCAGTGTAAATAGATGATGCATTTTTAAACTGTTTTTCTTGTTGCCGTATCATAACCAACCACTTTCCCAGAATTTGGTTTCTACCTCTCTTAAACAACCTTTTAAAAATATCTCCATGGGAATTGAGGTTTCGAAATTTTCAGGTTTCAAGATTGCAACATTCAGAATTGTGATTTTTGGGAATTTACACTTTAGGGATTTTTTAGGTTTACAACATTTGGGATTATAGTAATCAGGACTATGTCTTTCAGTATTATGATCAAGAGTAGGTACAAAGTGTTTTCAAATTCTTGCCTGGGTAAGATTTGTGACAAAAGAAAAATAAGAAAAATGAGAAGGAGGGGGGAGGAGGAAAGAAAGGAGAGGAAGAAGAGAAGTGGAGAAAGAATAGACAAACCGAAATCATTTTTTAAATTTTATTTATTTATTTATTTATTTATTTATGTTGGTACCAGGGATTGAACTCGGGACCTTACACTTGCAAGGCAGGTGCTGGAACCACTGGGCTAAATCCCCAGCCCTGAAATCATTTTATTAATGATCAGAGTTTATGTCTAGGCATGTAGAAATAACTCCTATAGAAAGATTCTACTACAAGGATCCTGCCTTATAGAAAATTAGGAAATAAAATCTTTAGTTACGGAATTTCACATTTTTCAGACTGAAAATGTGCACAGCTAAATCACTACATTTTCCTGTTTGTCTATGTATCTATCTGAGACAGGGTCTTGCTGTGTATCTCAGGTTGGCCTTGAATTCATTTATGTAGCACAGACTGGCTTCGAACTTGTGGCAATCCTTTTGCCTCAGCCTCCTCAGTGCTGGGATTATAGACATGCACCTCCATACCCCCACTCTAGCCTCTTTGTTGCCTAAATGTAGCCTTATATTTGAACAGTGAACTGTAAACAGCATTTGTTGGTGACTATCCCATAAGGGATCCTTGAATGAGACAGCTGGGCCCAACCTTTTGTCCTGTTCCCCTCCTGGGAAATTATAAGATGGCTAAAATGGGTCAAGGCAGCTTGCATCCTAGATGACTTCCAGAAGGATCACCCAGCCCTGAACTGCTGACACTGTATCTTGTGTTTAAGACACTGGCTGGATCTCTGTTATTTGAATATGAGTGCAATTAATAACTCAAAAGTGATTTCAACCACTCTGGTTGCCTCCCATCCAATACATAGGCTGAATTGTGACAGGTCCAAGGAGAGCTGTGAAATAGCTTTAGAAGTTTAGTCAAGGGAAATGCATATTTATGGTGCTATGATTTTGCAGAGGTCATTTTGAGCTACCTGGAAAGATCCGGGACAGAACCCAGTCTACTGTAATCTAATCCCTGAGCCTTTTGGGTTTTTTTCAGAAGCAGATGGAAAAAGATGCATGTTCATGAGGTGTGGTAGGGAAAATGGCAATAAAATTCTCTTTGGCGCCTGTCTACCACCTTGGTCTCAATCCTGGGTGCTCCTTGACTACTGGTACCACTCCTCCTTCCCCCTGCCCTAATATTTGTTGCCTGCTCAAAAAGGCATGTCCTAGGGGGGCACTTTAAGTCTTGAAGTATCATTAGCTATACAAACAAGAAATGCCCTGAAGCATCCTACTCTGTCTCCTTATAGTTATGTTGTTCTCACTAGATCAAACCCTTTCATTACAATCATGGACCCATCACAGACTTCAGCTGTTTCATCCTTCTAAATGTCATTTTCCCCTAGTTGCCATAGCTAGCACCCTAAAGATTCTAGTGCTTTCTGCTGTAATGAATCCAATAGCTTTCTAACTAGCCTGTCCTGTAGGATATCAGTGCCAGACTGTCTCACCTGAAAAATTACTTTCAGGGTGTCCTACCTCAGCAAATAGAAATCTCAACTTCCCATTACTAACTATATTAAACCTATAAACTCTTATCTGAGTTTTAAGGCTATCCATAACAAGGCCTATCCAGAATATCTTCACCCAACACATGCCTGGAGTTACATTCTCTTACCAGCTGAACAACACCCTTCCTGGCAGGTCTTTTCCTGCTCGTCCTTGGGAGGGCTGCAAAGGTGACAGGAAAATTAAAATCTATATTCGGTTCAGAGAAGGCACTAAACAAATATTAAAAACTTGAGTAGGGCTGGGGGTTTAGCTCAGTGATTCGGCACCTGCCTCGCAAGCACAAGGACCCGAGTTATGATCCCCGGTATCCCCCCCCCCAAAAAAAAAACGACTGGCAGGGCTTAGTAGTCAGGAAAGTATGAATTTAGGGTTCTAATCCCAACTGACTCTTCTACAATTAATGTGTGACCAATCACGCTGCTTTAACAGTGAGCTTTCACTGTCTCCTGGAGCCAGCAATACCAATTCCAGAGGTAAAATAAAGATAAATTATTATAATCACTCAAGGCACTCCCACTACATGGTAGGCATTTGATAGAATTCTTCTTTTTCTTCTTGTGTATGTGGTACTGGGGATTGAACCCAAGGCCGCCTCACCGAGCTACATCCCCAGCCCACACCACCCCCTTTTTTGAGACGGGCGTGCTAAATTATCTAGGCTGGGCTTGAACTTGATTCTCCTGCTTCAGCCTCCCAAAATGCTAGGATTTACAGGCATGTGCCACCCCCCACCTCCTGCTGGGTACACTGTCGCTAGGCAGCCAGTGGCATCAAGTCAGCCTGGCTGCAATCCTGGATCCTGCCAGCACAAAACCACTAGGCCGGTAAGCAAGGTCACTCCGGTCACTGGGTGAGAGGGCTAAACACGAGGACACTGGTTCTATATGTTTGCTGGGCAGCTCTGACCCACACCCAGGCTCTGTCTCGCTGAGGGATGGTGCCTTGGCTCCCGGGAGCGTGTAACACTAGGGATACATCGGATAGGATATATCAGGACCGGATATATCGTTCAAAAGCTGGCAGGTGGAGGCCGGAGGCCAAGGCTTCGGTGCCGAGGGGCGGGGGTAAGGGCGGGCCTAGGACCGTACCAATTGTACACGGCGGGAGGGGGGCAGCGTTCTTTTGGCGACGCGCCACTGCAGTGTGACAGGCAGGCACCACGTTGCCGTGGCCCAGGGTGGCGAGAAGACCCGCTTCCTGCGTCCCTTGAGCCAAGGGCATGGGGGCCAGAGCAGGAGACAGCCCACCTGGTGGCCCGGTGCCCCCCTCCGGGTTGGGAGCGGCAGGCAGGGCGGGGTCCGCCGGCGGCAGTATTTGTGCGCGACGGGCGTCGCTCTGTGCATTCTGGGCTGCGCTCGGACGGCGAGGCGGTTCTGGAGAGGCCTGAGGTCGGAGACGCGTTGCCATGTTACCCTATGCGGCTTGCAGGTGAGGGGCAGACGCCTTGGAGCGGCGCGTGGGGCCAGGAGGTTTCGGGTCTCCGGGGTGAGGGGCTCCGGGCCTCTAGGGTCCTTTTCGCGGCGCCCGCGGCGTGACCCCGTTGTGTCCTTTCAGCGCGAGCCGGCGGCTGGCCCCGGCTTTGGGGGTCCTGGGCGCACGGCAGAAGCACAGCCTCCCCGACTTGCCCTACGACTATGGGGCCCTGGAGCCTCACATTAACGCCCAGATCATGCAGCTGCACCACTCCAAGCATCACGCAGCCTATGTGAACAACTTGAACGCCACCGAGGAGAAGTACCAGGAGGCGCTGGTCAAGGGTAGGTAACAGGCTCTCGTGGAGGTCGCCGCCTGGAGCAGATCGACCGTGAATCGGTCCCACTACCGGCCCTGAGATTTCCGGGCGCAAAACCCCTTTAAAACAGTTACCTATTTTATTGTAGCAGAGTCTTATTGATTCGTTTGTGTAAACTTTTTATTTCGGAAAACTTAGGATCTAGTAGAGGAATTTGTTTTTGAATTTGACTGTGTTAAGTTCAGTTTTGTTACTTATATTGCTAATGTTGGTGAATTGTGCAAGCTTTACAGAAAACTTAGTACGTACCTCGTTTTCGTACATTAACATTTAGAATTTGCTCTTGTTACATAATGAGCCCTTGGAGATACATACCTATTTGGTCTTTCAGGTAGGCTTGCCAGCCATTTGCTGAAGAGCTGAGAGCACCCTCCGCTTGTTGCCCAGACTCATGTGTCCTTGAGCGTCACCGTAACGCCTAAAGTGGGCTGGGCCTTTGTTGTCTGCAACCCAAGTGTGTGCCTGGGCAGTCGGTGGGAGAGGAGGGCCTTTCTGGCTCCTTTTCCAAGGGCGCACGTGACAGCATTGAGCCAGCATTGCTAGAAGCTGCTTCATTGATGTCGTTCTGGGAAGGGATAGAATCTAGCCAAGGACTTCACTTGGAGATTCCTCCTGTCCTGAGCTGCCCATACAGGGGAATTGCACTTAACCTTCTTGTTTTCTTGATATGGGAGACAAGTGTTAGCATTATGATGTTCATTACCAAAACTTACCTGTCTGTGATACAGATCAGGCCCTATTGCTCTGATTTAAAATAAGGGTCAAAGTTTATAAGAAAAGTAGCCATTTTTGTGGAAATGTGAGTATTTGTAATTCGATTAATATAATACAGAGTTAACTTGAAAAAAGACCTCTTGACAAAATCAGGAGCATGTGAATTTTTTGTGTTTGCACCTCGGGGTATATATACTGTTTTAATGTCTATACAAAATAGTGTGTTCTTTTAATATATTAGTTTGGACAGCGAAAATAATTTACAGTCATACTGCCAGACTGTGTTTAATAAGCTAAAGAAATGTACTCTTTAAAAAAAAAAGTACTCTTTAACTGTTTTTATTGAATTTCAGGCCTATGAAATTTGTTGAGTAATTTTAGACAGTGACAGCTAGTTGACTAGGGGCATCTAGTGGAAAAATGTAGTATTTCAGCTTGTGTTTGAGGTAAATATCTTAACAAAAAGAGGAGGAAGTTAGCATTTTCTGGAAGATTTATTTGCAGGAATTAGATGAACCTTGAATATGGGAAGAGGAAATAACAAATTTGTGGAAGATGTGGTAATAGTGAAGCTGGGGAATATCCCAGTTGTGAAAATACTTCCTGTAAGCAACCTCTGACACCTTGAATATTTTTTTAAAATCTTAATTTCAAGACGGGCATGGTGGCGTATGCCTGTAATCCCAGCACTGGGGAGGCTGAGGCAGGAGGATTGCTGTGAGTTCGAGACCAGCCTGGGCTACATAGTGAGTTCCAGGTTAGTCTCAACTACATAGTGAGACCCTGTCTCAAAAAAACAAAAAAGGGCAGGGGATTTAGCTCCGTGGTTCTGCCTCCTGCCTTGCAAGCACAAAGACCTGAGTTTGATCCCCAGTACCAATCAAATAAACAAACAAAAAAAATCTTAATTTCAGCCCTTTTCTTATGGAATCAAAACTTTACTTGTTTGATGACAGCCACTGGAAAAAAAGCTTTATGTTATATTGTAGTACTGTATTGACTGTAAGCTAATAAATGCAGAATTTTCTTTTCTTTAAAAATTATATTTTTGAGGGGCCAGGGATTTAGCACAGTGGTTCTGCTGCCTGCCTCACAAGCACAATGTCCTAAGTTCAGTCCCTGGTACCCCCCCAAAAATATTTTTGAGATTTTATTAAGAGTTAAATTTTCATAATTAAAAACTTGGGAAGAAAGTATGAATAAACCAGCATAATCTCATCACATATAATTAATGTAAATACTTTTTCAACTAAAAGTGTTTAACTTTTATTTTATTGTATTTGAAGAAAAAAACCTGAATTGAAACCAAAGAAAATACTGAACTCTAGAAAATTTTTAAGAGTACAGTTCCTATGAAAAATTTAAATAATAAAGCAAACTTTAAGATATTGAGATTATTAAAGTATCTCTCAGTGAGCATGTTTCCTTCTCATTCAGAAAATTGAGTTTTGATTTATTTAAAACAGCATGAAACCTACATTTGTTTTTGTTTTTGTTTGGTACTGGGCATGGAACTCGGGCCCTTGCACTTGTGAGGCAGGTGGCAGAACCACTGAGCCAAATCCCCAGCCCTACATTTATATTTTTAGAGTGACTCCAGAAAAAATTAATAAGGGAAGCACTGAACTGTAAGAAAATTACCTTGTAAATACATCAAAGGAAGAAAAGATTGGTATCTAAAAGAAAACCTAAGAGATTATCTATGTATTAAATATTGCTTGATCCTCTCTTTTCTGAATTGCTAAACAATTAGAGATTTGGTCTTGTTTCAGAAAATAACATTTCTTGCCCATGTTCTTTGGGGGGCGGGCAGTAACGGAATTGAACTTAGGGCTTCAAGCTTGCCAGGCAGGAGCTGTGCCGCCAAGCTACATCCCTGGCCCTTTAACCTAGGTTCATACACACACACACATATATATACATACATATATATATGTATGTATGTATGTATGTATGTATATGGCACTAGGGATCGAACTCGGGCCCTTGCACTTGTGAGGCAGGCAGCGGAACCACTGAGCCAAATCCCTGGCACTAGGTTCGTAACATAGATGTTCAAAGTAGAATCGCAAACTTTTTTCCAAAATTGCAGTTCCTGCAGAGCAGAGGTTTTGGTGGTTTTGTCCTTCACTTTGTCCCTCTTGATAAAGTGAATCATAAGCACTCAGTATTTATTGAATAAGGGAATTTCTAGGTTTTCCAGTACTTCAGTTAGTCTATACCTTCTTGAAAGCACAGAAAATAAAATAATTTGAGTACTTGTTTAGCAAGATGTCTCTTTGGTTTCAGTTTATTTTGCTCAGTGTTTTTGAGAATACATTCAGATAGTTTAAGCATGATACTCTTTTTTTTAAAGAACTATAAAGAGGCCCTTTTAAAAGAAACTACATTTAATATATTCAGTCATGTAGTGAATCAACAAATACTCACTGGGAGTGGTCTGTGTATATTGGACACTTTGGCCACAAGAGTGCACAAAATCTTTGTCCTCACTGGCACATGTAGGCTAGTGGGGACACTGGTGAACAGTACACATGCAGGGTGCCAGGAGTTACAAGTTCATTTGGGAAAGATGGGTAGACTACGGGGTCTGAGAGCTGGTGGGGAATTGCTGTGTATCCTGGCTGAAGAAGACGTGACGGAGAAATGAGAATGAAGCATGAGGCTGGATGGGGAAACCGCTGCAATGGAGACAGCTAGTCAGCCCTGAGCGGGGTGCATGCTGAGCGTCATGTGAGAACAGGCATGCTAGTGTGGCTTCAGAATGGGGCCGGCGACCAGGTGATGTGCGGCTTTATATAGCTCAGTGTAAGGGCACAGGGATCACTCCCGGTGAGAAGGAACATCTTTTGGGAAGGAGGCTGGTACTAAGGCAGGTGGGAAATGCTGATACAACTGCACCTATAGGTAGGATCAGAGTTAAGAAGGCGTGATTGGATTCTGGATATATCTTAAGACATATGGTGTCTTAAGGTGGAGCTGACTTTGCTGATGGGCGTGGAGATGGATTGAGTGTGGAGTGTCAGGAAAGAGGAGTCAAAGATGACATCAGTGACCTGAGGGGCACTGTTGGCATTCACCAAGTTGTCCCCATAGGAGGAGTAAATTTGGGTTTGAAAATCAGGAGTTCAAGTTGAATATGTTTTCTTTCTTTTTTCCTTTTTGTGTTTTTGAGACAAGGTCTCCGATTTTAGTTTAGGCTGGCCCTGAACTCACTAGGTAGCACAGGCTGGCCTTGAACTCTCAGGATCCTTCTGCCTCAGCCTCCCAAATACTGGGATTACGGGCGTGCGCCACCATGCCTGTCTGTTGAGTTTTCTTTTTAATATCACTTTGAACCATTTTCCAGTGAATAATTGTCTTACTTGGAAAATGAGAGTTGAATGTTTTCTGTGTGTGGTCCATACTGAGCCATGCATTTTAGCTTTTCATTAGTGTGTTTTATTTTGTTTTCAGTCTCAATATTTATTACTGCCACATTTTTTTTAATTATTGTATTTTAATGTGCTTTGGCGTTTGATTTGCTGAAATCTTTCTTATCCCAAGAGAACCCTGAACCCTTAGCTGTCAGAAGTGAATTTTTTTCTAGCTGGCCCACCCCTGCTGGTCCCCTCGCCAGTTATATAAAACCCGATTAATTGAGCTGAAAATATGAAACAAGTTTTGGGGAGGGCCTTCCTTTTTTGGTAGAATATGAAATTGCTAAATTTTAGGAAAAACAAGAATGTTACAGATAAGCTGGTGCAACTGTCTTACAAAAGAAAAAAACTGACCAATTTGTAGAGAGGTTAAAGAGTAAGATTTTTTTTTTTTTGGTACCAGGGATTGAACTCAGGTCCTTGCACTTGCAAAGCAGGCATCGGAACCATTGAGCTAAACCCCAGCCCAAGATTTTTTTTTTTTTTTTTTTTAAAA